AAAACTGTTTCCAATTTTTCGACACATTACATTTGTAAATGACTCCATTGTAATTGCCTCGCAGGTTACAGTACGCCTGATCCAGTTTATTGGTATTTGCAATGTAGCACAAGTAATCAAATTGATAAAAGAAAATTTTGATGGCTCATCCGATCTTGCTTCTTGTAAATTATTTCGTGTGCAATGTAGTGCATCAAATTTATAAACTGTTTCTTGAAAAGGTGTGTCTTGCAGCAACGAGTTATCCAATGATACAGATGTAGAAATTTCCATCCATGGAAACTGCGAAGGTATGACCCCTTTTCGCAACCTTGGTTGTCTATAATGCGACTAAAAAACAAAGATTATATAAGCTGCATTAGCTGCATTGTTCAAGTAAATAAATAACAAAATATTTATTTTATTACTTACAACGCCGAGTACTTGTCCATCAGGACTTGTAAGTTCTCGTTTCCACAATATATCTTCAGGCAAGAAATGTTTTTCACAAAGAAACTGTCCTGCTCGGATCACAAAGTCTTTTCTTCGTATAGCATTTTGCCATAAAGTTATCATATTTTCATCTTTAGGCACAGTAAAAAAATGAATTTTTTCCGGATTAGATTTATATCCAGAAGTACAACCCGGTGCTATGCAATGCGGCATAATTCCACACATGAAGACATTAATGCGATTTAATGTTCGATAACATTTGATCACATTTAATCACGATCACGTACGACAAGAATGGGAAAACGGACAAAAATAACCTCACTTCACTAATAGAAGTGGACCAAGTTACTATCAGCGCCCCCAGCGGATTTCGGACAATAGCGGGGTCACATTAAACTATAGAAAACCTCTTGAGTGCCATAGGCCTGGGCGTAAGTTTCTGAAAATCTATATTATCGACCTTGATTAACTTCGACCGTTACTCCAGCATCCCCTTAAAAAGTACAGATAATCTTCATATATATTTTGGCGCCTCCAAGAAAAAAAATAACGTGACCAAAATGAATCTTCAAAAAACTGTTTCTCTTTCATCTAAAACATTTTTTCATAACTTATGTATTTTTTAATCCTTAATACATATGATTGTGGTCATTTGGGTCCTGCGCATTACCAATTTCTTTGAAATATTAGGAGCACCTGACCAAATACTGATTTCTCTATTCCTAAAAAGAAGGCATCTAGAGAACAAGTTTTGTGCGTTGTGGATCTCAATTCATGCGTATGCTTTGATTAAAATAACTCGGAAGTTCACCTCTGGGTCACAATTAATGACCTATCATGTGTATAGAATTTACTTTTTTGTAACTAAAAAATATTTATTTTTTTCTGGGAAATATCTCGATCAGGGGACCCCCCTCCAATGACCTTGACATATGTTGTCAAGGTCATGACCCTGAGTGACCTTCAACAAGTTTTAGTCGTCGCTCGTTATTCGTTAAAAAGTTATGAACAATACAGTTCAGATATACGAGTATAACACGAGAATTCCTTGCTTTAAGATATGTTTGATAGTCGTGCATTGTAAGGAACCTCTCCCAATGATCTTAACCTTGACATATATTGTCAAGGTCATGACCCTGAGTGACCTTCAACAAATTTTAGTATTTAAATTTTAAAATAAAGAATACTCACAGTACATACATCTGAATTAAGAATTTTAATCAATATTTACATTATCTAGTG